CACACTTGAAGACGGCGAACCTGACGACCGACCAGCCGCACCTTCTCGAGGCCGTCACGACACCAAACCATCGCGTCTCGACGCTCCGGCTCACACCACGCGAGCATGCGACGGTCCCTGCCCTTCCGCTCGTCGCGCCGCTGGTACGCTGGTTGACGTCTGGCCATGCTCGCCACTTGTCGCTGACTCGATTTGATCTTCCGACGGACGCGGGTCTGGGCCACGCGCTGGCCACATCGCCGGGCCTCTCCAGCCTCGAGTTGCTATCGTCGGCGAGTGTGGTCAGCAGCCTTGCGGCTCACGACGGGCCGTTGCCGTCTCTGACAAAGCTCGACATCGATGGGTGTTTGCACGAGGACGTCGCGCGGCTCGTGGCGCGTCTCCCGCTGCGGCAGATGAAGTCGCTCGTGATTAAAGCCTCGCGGGTCGCAGGGACGAACGACCCGGACATTGGCTACTGCTTCACCACCGCGCTGCACGACTTGTCGGCGCTTGAGCATGTCGCGTTGAAGAACCTCCGCGTCTGGGGCTCGGACGCCCTCCGACCGACCACTGCGCCATCGTCGACGCTCCGCACGCTTAAATTCAACGACGTCATCATGTCCCAGGCCAGTCTCAATGCGCTGGTTCGCTGGGCCACGAGCTCGAAGCGTCTCGCGTCGGTCTCGTGGAAGAAGTGCGCGATCTTTGGCGAGAACACCAACTACGCGGCCACGACGCTGCAGCGGTGCATCGCCGCTGGCGTCCGCCGCGTGGCTTTTCTTAACTGCGGCATCAGCTCCATGGGCCTCGAAGCGTTGGCTGAGACATTGCGCGCGACCCACGTCCCATGCGAGTTGACGCTCCATCTCGATGGCAACGACTTGGATCTCGTTGCGGTGCGCGCGTTGCTCGAGGCCGTCGCGACGTGCACGAACGTGTGGGTCCGGCTCGGGCGCTTGGACATCGTCAATTGCCCAGCGGTCGCCGAGGCTGTAGCCGCTGGCGCCAGCTACAACACGGGTCCATTGGATACCTACCTCTATAGTCCCGAAACAAAGGAGCAACAAGCTCGTTCTCGCTCGTTTAGCGTGATCTCGCTCGAGTCTGTCTAATTGGCTTACTGCAATACACTGTCGTGCTTCAGTCATCGATGATGTATCGCATACAAGACATATCGTTCGTTGTCGGGCTATGCATTAGGGTTGTAAATGTACTGCGTCTGAAGCGTGCTTTGCTCGACCATGTGCTGGATGCGCGTCCGCTGGAGCTTCCCAGAGGTGGTTTTCGGAATCGTCTTTGGCTTGAGCAAGACGATGCGCGCGACCTCGACCGACTGCTCCTTCGCAACGCGCTTGCAAATGTCCTTGCAGATGCTGGCCAATGTCGAGTCGCTGCCCTTCTTGAGCTGCTCGCGGAGCTCGGCGACGACGACGACCGACGACGAGCGGCCGTCCGCGTCAGCAATGGTGCTGTACACGGCCGCACACCCTGGTCGAATCTGCGTCGACGCGGCCTCGACGCTGCCTTCAATCGTCTGCGGACAAATGCAGCGGCCGTCCACGTGCACGAGGTCTTGGAGCCGGGCGTAGTAGAAGAGCTCGCCCTTGTGCATGAAGCCGAGGTCGGTCGACCGCCAATAGTGTCTCCCAGAGGCATCATTCGCGAGCGTTGCTTGGAAGCGGCGGCGCGTGAGGTCCCACTGCTGCCAGTAGCCTTCGGCGATGCTGTCGCCGTGGACCCAGATCTCGCCGACGTAGCCGTCGGGCAGTGCGGTGCGGGACTTGGTATCGACAATCCGGAGGTCGTACGTGTGTCCAGGACGACCACACGCGATGAAGAGCAGTGTCCCGGTGCCCGACGCCCGTCGCGGGTCGTCGGCGCGGAGGAGCTGAACTTTGCCCTTCGTTTCGATAATCGTCTTGTCGACGAGGAGGCTCCGTGGCGCACCGCGGTTCGGATCGGGGTACCCGCAGATGACCAGCGTCGGCTCGGCGCCACCATACGCGCCTACGAGAGAGAGAGTGCATGGGCCACGGTGTCACGTTAGAAGGAGGACGTACAGTTGAATTGGTGCGGGCGAAAGCCTGCGGCGTAAAACTTTTTGGCGAAAAGCTTGAGGTAGTCACCGCGGATGGGCTCGGCGCCGCATGTAGCATGGTGCAAGTGGCTCAGATCCAAGCGCGCAGCGACGGCATCGGACGTCTTCTTGGCCGCGAGGACGTAGGCAAAG